ACTGGACGCCGTTAAGCCTCAATTTCCTGGCAAGCCTGAGGGTGGGTTTTTTCCAGAAAGCGTTTTAGACCGCGGCCCTGCAGCCTTTCCATGTCTAATCACGAAAGCGATCCCCGGGACACACACTTTCTGTTGCCAGCTGCTTGTGTATGTTTTCTTCACGCTCCCACCACTGCGTGCCAAGGTGTGACATTTACAAATCCCACCAACTGGGCGCTGTGCAGACCAGGCCGGCTTCCCGGGGGAGGGGAGGTGATGAATGGGGCTCTTCTGCTCTGGGAGGGGAGGGCTGCCTGCAGCTTTATTTATGACCCACCAAAGTATAAAAGACATCTAAAACCGCTCGCGGGAGCCGCGCGCTCAGCTCCGATCTTGGCATCTCCGCGCGCTCAGCTCCGGTCCAGGCCCGCCCTGCTCCGAGGAGGCTCCCGCGCGCTGCCCTGCGGGAACCATGCTCCGGACGCAGTTCCTCTGGTGGCACCTGCTGGCTCTGTTTTGCCTCCCTTTTTGCCTGTGTCAAGATGAGTACATGGAGGTGAGCGGAAGAGCTAAGAAAGTGGTGGCGCGAATAGTGCAAAGCCACCAGCAGACTGGCCGTAGCGATTCCAGGAGGGAAAAAATCAGAGAGCGGAGCCACCCTAGAACTGGGACTGTGGATAATAACACTTCTGCAGACCTAAAACCCCTGAGACCAGATGAGCTACCGCACCCCGAGGTAGATGACCTAGCCCAGATCACCTCATTCTGGGGCCAGGTACTTAGAATTCTCTTCTAAGGATTACTGTCGATGCTCAATGGGTTTGGTGGTGGTGTGGTTGGGGTTTTGGTCTGGAGATTCTCATGGGTTCCTGGGTGGCTAGGCAGCTTAGTGGGTACCGAGCTGTGCTGCCATCCCAAAGGCAGGCTGTTTGAATCCCCTAGCTCCTTCTTGGAGGGAAAAATGCGCGATTTCTTTGTGTGAAGTACAGCTTTTGAACACCACTGGAGGGTCAGCTTGAGTCAGTTTCAGCTCCACGGCAGTGGACTTGGGGGGCGGGCAGGGGGTGCAATCTTTGCTAGAAACAACAGCAGTGCAAGAGACAGCCAGTATCTGTCAGCCCTTCTTCGGCGAGCAGCGCACACAACAATGTCCCATTATTCTGCGAGTTATGATTTTTGTTACTCTGCTGCTTCTGACCTATGCAGACAGGGAGATTGGTACAGATAATCACTCCTTCACCACAGCAGAGGTGGCTTCCTTGACATTTCCCGTAGGGAGGCGCTGCCCTTTGACTTTGCCCAAAGCAATTAACTGTGATAGCAGGAGTTGGTCGGGTCTTTTAGCACCAGCCGGCTTGGCTATTGGGTTTACATAGCAATCCAGGTTGCAGATGCTTCTATGCTTCGTCTGTTTTAAAAGGATCACACAATGGAATACTATGCAACACATGGGAGCAATGATTTTGTAAATTATTACCTAACTTGGGAGGGACTAGAGAGCATTATGCTGAGTGAACTAACTCAATTCCACAAGGATAAATATTGCATAAAACCATTATTGTAGAATAAGTATGAGGATCCAGGAGGGATGGGAAAGGTGGAAGCAGAGGGATGAGGATGTTCTGGGGAAGGAGAGAAATTAATCATGGAGTTAATTTGATAGAGTGTTGAGGAAAATGGAAAGAATCTTCTCGAAAACAATGCCTTTTAATTTTGTAAATAAACTAGTACAAAATTTAAAAAAAAAAACAACACTTCAAGATAAAACAAGGACTGTATTTAAAATGCAAGCTTTAGGGCACAGTTTGCAGCCTGGTATTCACAGGGGACATGGCTTATTTCTCCAGATACGAGTTAGACATTTGAGGAAGTAGAATGCAGTCTTTTAGGCGATATGGTAGTGAGTTATAAAGAGGAACACCATTAATGAGATGGATTGGCATGGGGGCTGCCACCATGGATTCAAACATGGCAATGATTGGGGGGCCACAGAGCTTGGCGGTGTTTCATTGTGTGTTGGGTTGTTCTGAGTTGAAACCAACTCCATGGCTCCTAAGAACAGTAACATGGGAGTGATTTAAGGCTTTGATGCTGGGAATTGCCAACTGGTGGAACTATATTCAATTTCAAGCATTAAGAGCAGAAGAGACACATTCTGACTCACCTCTGGTTTTTATTGCTAAGAATAGAAGGAGCAGGAATGGAGGGGCAGAAAGATTACTTCTAATTAAATCTAGGCTTTACTACAAAGACGGACTACTGCATTGGCTCTGAAAAAGTGGGCGCAGTTGCAATCTAAACCCCTGACATCACAGATTGAGGGGCTGGGCTGAGTTTGGGTTATGAGCCCAAGTCACACACAGCTGCTATCATTATCTAGAAATGGAATTCCCACCCTGACCACAAGGGGCAGTGGACTAAACCATTCTATCACTCTGTGCCAGGAAGAAAATATTTGTCTAAGGATCCACAGGGAAAAGCCTCTGATAAAGGCCTAAGGAGCTCTGGTGGCCTGGTGGCAAGAAGCTGCGCTGTAATCCCGAAGGCATGTGGTTTGAATCCACCAGCTGCTCTGCAGGTGAAGGATGAGCAATCTTCTCCCATGCAATTAACTGCCTCTGAAAACCCACTGGAGGGTCAGCTATGGGTGTATTCGGACTGGATGGCACGCAACAAGAGCATAAGCCTGCTTCTGAAAGCTGTGTTTGGATAGTGTTCTTTCATTTGGCAATCTTTGAGCTAACCATGGTCACTGCTGTGTGTATGTGTGTCTATGTAGCAGGGATATTCTTACATTTGCCCAAAGATTGATGTGGGCTTCCAATTTCAGTGGAATCCCTAGTGATACAAACTATTAATGTGGCCCATGTCCATGTAGAGGTGCATCAGAAGAAAGGTCTGGCAATCTACTTTTCAAAATTGTTGTTGTTGTTAGGTGCTGTGAAGCTGACTGACTCCTAACAACACAGAGAACACCAGGTCTGACCCTCATCCTATGCCGTCCTCACCATCTGTGACACACTGGAGCCCACTGTTACCATCACAGGCTCATTCCATCTTGTTGAAGGTCTTCCAAATATTGTTGTTTGACAGTAAGTCAGAACTGCCCCATAGATGACCCTCCAAGCAAATTTTCAGAAGCAGTAAATCAAATGGAAGGAGATTGTCCACCCTTCTACTGCAGAGCAGCTGGTAGATTTGAACAACATGCCTTTGGGATTGCAGTGCAGCTTATTACCACTAGGTCACCAGAGCTCCCTTCCCAAGCATTATCCATTGGGAAAAAAATAAAAATCCTATGGTGCACAGTCCACTCTGCCACACAGGAATTTGTCATGAGTTGGAATCAATTCTATGGCAACTAGAATCATTTCAACAGATCAACTTTTTCCTGGTCCCTTCCTGATAGTGACAGGTCGTTGGGGTTATTATTTCATGACTCAACAACCCTGCTTGCTGAAACTGAAGAGGACCTGAAGCGCCTGCTGCAGAGTGTAAGGACTGCAGCCTACAATATGGATTGAGGCTCAATGTCAAGAAGACAAAGATTCTCTCCACTGGACCAATTGGCAGCATCAGGATGGATGGTGAAGAGATTGAGATTGTACACAGCTTTAGTTTGCTTGGCTCCATAGTCAACAGTCTTGGCACCAGCAGCCAGGAAATTAAAAGGCCTATTGCCGTGGGAAAGTCTGCTGTTAAGGACCTCTCCAAAGTACTGAAGAGCAATGGTGTCTCTCTGGAGACTAAGGTGCGTCTGATACAGGCCATAGTCTTCGCAATCACTTGTTATGCATCAGAGAGTTGGACAATGACCAGAGAGGATAGAAGGAGAATTGATGCCTTTGAGCTGTGGTGCTGGAGAAGAGTATTGAGAATACCATGGACTGCTAGGAAAACAAACAGATTTGTCCTGGAAAGGGTTAAACCGGGTGGCTCCTTGGAGGCAAGGATTCTGAGGCTCCGTCTAACATACTTTGGACATGTTGTGAGGAGAGACCGGTCCTTAGAGAGGGACATCATGCTTGGGAGGGTGGAGGGACAGTGCAGGAGAGGAAGGCCCTCTATGAGGTGGATTGATTCAGTGACTGGGATAAATGGGATGGGAGTGTCAGAGACAGTGTGATTGGCACAGGACAGAGCAGAGTTTAGGGCTGTTTTACATAGGGTCACTATGAGTCGCAAGCAACTCGACGGCACATAACAACAACAACAACAACCAGAACAATCAGAACCCCCAAATGTCCTTCTGCTGATTTGGTTCTGACTCACAGTGGTTTCCCAGGATATAAATCTTTAAGGGAGGATTACCGCTTGTCTTTCTCCTTTGTAGTGACTGGTGGATTTGAACTGCCAACCTTTGGGTTGGCAGCCCAATTATTTACACACCTCCAACAATAGATAATATAGACATTCAAGTTACTGATATTCTGAATAATTTTAACACAGCTCTGACACAATGGGAATTCAAAAACATAAACTAATTGACATCAAGTCAGATGTGACTCAGAGCTGACACTCTGGAAAGTTTTCAGAAGCTGTAAGTCACATAGGAGGAGAATTCCCATTTTTCTCCCATGAAGCAGTTGGTGGATTTGAATTATCTACCTTTAAGTTGGAAACTCAGCTGTCTACCCACTAGGCCAACAGAGCTCATTGACACAGAGGGGTAGAGTGTCCTTAATTGAATTTAAGATTAAACTATGTTCTTTCTTTTTTTTTTTGGCAACTCTCACTTTGTAGTGGTATATTTAGGATTGGGTGTGACACAGTTATTTATTGCTGAGTGAGCAAAGATTAAACTATGTTCTTTCTTTTTTTTTTTGGCAACTCTCACTTTGTAGTGGTATATTTAGGATTGGGTGTGACACAGTTATTTATTGCTGAGTGAGCAAAGATTAAACTATGTTCTTTCTTATCTCCCCCTTTTATCTTATTCTCTTTTTTCCTTACTCATTTATCTGTTATTCATTGTTGTTGTTACTATGTACCATAGAACTGAGTCATAACTGACCCTTCTATGGGTATTCAGAGGCAGTTCATCATACAGAAGGAGACTGCCTATCTTTCTCCTGTGGAACAGCTTGTGGCCTAGAACCATGTGCCTTCAGGATTGCAGCTCACCTTCTTGTCACTAGGCCACCAGAGTGACTTGTTTACTCATTAAGCATGTCCTTTTTTCTGCTCGCGTCATGGCTTCTCAACAATTTGGAGAGATTCTGACTACAGACTTTTCCAGTATAATATGTGAATTTGAGGACTAAGTTGTGCCTGATACAGACAATGGATTTGCATTCACTTGCTGTGTTACTGCACACTGGATAGTGACTAAGGACGACAGGATAAATATTAATACTTTGGAACTGTCGTTCTGGAGAAGAGAATTGAATATCCTATGGTCTCCCCAAACAATAAATAGATGTCTTAGAGAAAGTGCAACCAGAGTGTTCCTTGGAGACAAAGATGATGAAGCTTTATCTCACATACTTTGGGGCATGTTGCTAGGAGAGGCGATTCCTTGGAGACAGACATCATGTTTGGGAAGGTGGAGGGATA